AACTGCTGCCACTTGGCCCCTACTACCACGGGGTCCAATCAGCCGCATTGTAGTTAAGTGTCTTAGTTCAATTAGGACAGTTCCCACTGTCAAATCGGGTTTACATAAAATAGCCATCACAGCAGTCTTCAAGGATGCTGGAGCTCCCTTCACAAATTTATTCTTCATGGTACTGGTGAAAGGTGTGTCTTCTGGAATCTCCATTTCTGGCTCTAGGGGTCTAATCTGATAAATCCATTCTAACAGGCCGATTTCCATAAGCCTCTGGATACCTTCTACATTAAACCAAGGCAGGTCTGGTATTACAACTTGACTTAAGGTAGGCCACCGCATAATCCATGCTTCAGTAAGCCAACCAAATAAACTATTAGATCCTTCCTAACCTCTCGAGCGTGGGCCTAAATCAATAAACTCAGACTGATCCAGTGTTACATTCCTTGCACCATTATCCCACACCGTCAGTAGCCATTCCCATACATATTCTCCAAGTTTCTGTCTGTACATGTTAGCAAAATCAAGTAGGTCTTTTCGGGTATAGCATATCACCTCCTCAGTCGCACTTTTTTTCACCTCTTGGGGCTCGCTTGGACTTGACTTTAGTTATGGGTCTCATAGAAACAATGAGTGCTTGAGGCAGTTCCTGAGAGCATTCAGGAATGTCTTCCATGGCCTCTGGCTCAAACTCAGCAGGAACAGTTGAGTTAATCCCATCAAACTGAGGGGGAGGGGATAATGGTTTTACAGTAATTCGTTTAGATGAGAGGGTTTCAACAGAATTTACAGGCTCCATATCCTGATCTTCCTGATTATCTGTCCATATGTCCCCATTCCAGGTTTCAGGATCCCATTTTTTTCCAATCAATGCCCTCACTTTAATGCCAGACACCGTTCTGGATTGGCAATTTAGCTAGCATTGTAATTCAGCCACCCTTAAAATAATAAGACGTAGGGTTTGGTTTTCAGCAATATCAGCTCTGTTACTAGAAGATATAAGGCTTTCTTTCAGAGCACAGCTGGAAGCATTGAGGTCTTTTATGCGGTGCTTAAGCCAAGGCTCAGCAGCTTTGAGCTCATCTCACTCTTTGACCAGTTGGTCCAGTGTAAGTAGGACCAACCAACCAACTTCCTTATACTCCTCATTCTGACAGAATTGCAGAAAAGTATCAAATATCTGATCACCCAGAGCATCACTTCTCACAAGTACTTGATCTATTGGTGGTCCTATTTCGCATATTAATTTTGCCACCTCACACCACGGATTAGTAGGGCCCTCTTTACTAGCAGATGTAGAGTCACTAGTGTCATTAAAATTAATCAAACTGGAGAACCAATCTGGGAAGCCCATCCTTATGATTTTGTCTCTCTAGAACCACTCCCAGTACCAAATGTGTTAGACTGGGTTCTCTAGAGAAACAAAAACCAGCAAAGCTTATATATGTATAAAGAGAGAGAAAAATTTATCTTAGGAAAATGGCTCACAAATGTATAGAAGCCAGCAAGTCCAAAGTCCCTGTAGCAAACGTCAGGCTGGAGGCTTTTCTTAGCTTCTGCAACCGCAGGGGCTGAGAAGCTCAAGGCTGGCAAGCAGTACACAGGCTGTTGACTCCAACAAATGATGAATCCAAGATCTCCAGGCCAAATGGTGGACTGCTCACTCACAGACAGTTGTAGGCAGCACAACAGAATCCCGATCCACAGAAGAATGTCTCTTTTCCCAGGATGTCTCTGGGTATCCTGGAAGCAAGCCACAGTCCTAGGGAAACTCCCCCTGAACAGATTGGCCACTCAGTACACAGTCATCTGATCCCATCATGGGAGCAACCACACAGAACTGGGGTCCAGCCAAGTTGACACACAGCTCCAACTATCACAGACACTATGCTACCAGAGCTCCTCGGAAGGAGATTGGGAGTGATTAAATTATCAGATGGTATAGAAATAAAGATACTAAAAACAGCAATATATATATATTTTTGTTGTTGTTGTTGTTGTTGTTATTTGCCGTCGAGTCAGCCCCGACTCATAGCAACCCCTCCTTGGGTTTCCAAGGCAGTATC